GTCGGCACCAGTCTCCATGGATAATGGGCTCCTGCATGGTGCTGGTGCAAGGCAGATGAGAGAGGATGTTCCCAGGCCATGCTGACAAAGAGGCACCATCAGGCTGTCACCAATCAGGCTAGATTCCACCCCTTCAAGTTGACACAAAATTATGTAACTACCACACTACCTTACTTCAAAATGATATAAAACTACAGAAATTAACCTAGTGTGGTATAGGAACAAAGATAAATATTTGTATATCAGTGCAACAGAATTGAGAGTCCATAAGTAAGGCCTAATATATGCATATAGCCCATTTTTGTTTGGTTTTGTTTGTGTGTTTTTGAGGGGAGGTCAATTGGTTTTTTACAAAGGCAATTCAATGGAGAAATGATCATCTTTCAAACAAATGATCCTGGAACACGTGGGCATCCATGTGTAAAAGTGATCCTTGACTCCTAGACCTCATCCCTTAAAAGTGAACCCAAGATGGATAATAGCTCTAAAAGGAAATCATAAAACTTACAGGGGAAAAAAAACAAAACAGGAAAATATCTTTGTGACCTTGAATCAGGCAAAAACGTATTAAGTCTGATGCCTAAGGCACAATTCACAAGAGAAAAAAAATGATAAACTAGACTTCATAAAAATTAAGAACTTCTTTTTAAAAGACACAGTTCTGAAAATGAAAATATAAGATGAATGGAGAGAAAGTATTTTTGAAACACATATCAGATACAGGACCTTTAATCTAGAACACAAACCAAATTCACTGTCATGGAGTCGATGCCTACTCATAGCAACCAATTAGGACAGGGTAGAAATGCCCCCTTTGGTTTCTGAGACTGTAACTCTTTATAGGAGTGGTAGGAAATGTCTGGCTCTTGGGCTCACAAGGCCTGAAAAATCATCAATACCAGCTGACATCACATACCTCGCCAGCAGTTTCAGGCATCATATGAGGGGTGAGTTAATTAAGTGCTTGAGCAAATATAGCAGGCTCTTTTTTAAGTTGATAATTTTGTATGGTTGCAAATGATGTTATAAATCTCCAAATGGACCGAGGCAGGAAAAAAAGTCCCCGCCCTTGATCTAGAGTAGGTAAAGAATTCTCAAAACAATAATAAGCAAAGAAGACAATGTAAAAAACAGCCACTTCAACAAACATATGAGTGGAAAATAAGCTCATGAAAAGTTATTCCGTATCATTAGTATCATTCATTTGCAAGATGCACATTAAACCCACAATGAAATGTACCAGACACCTATTAGCATGATTTAAAACAAACCGAACTGATTATACAAAGAGCTGGCAGGAATGAAGGGCAATGGGAACGATTAAATATTATTGTTGGGAATACAGAATGGTACAACCATTTTAGAAAATAGTTGGGCAGTTTCTTATATCATTGGCCTCACATTACTACTTCTGGATATTTACCCAAGTGAACTGAAGACTTACGTTAATAGAATATCTTATGTGCAGATATTGTATCCATGTTATATGGTGGCGTCAAAGGTTTTCTAACTCCATGAGTGGGGAGGAGAATTGAGATTAGCTCAAGACTGAATCCTGTGAAGTGAAGGTTTGACACAGAGGAAGTACACAGTGGCTTTCTTTAAAGTGAGCTGGATTGACACTGTGGCCTTCACAGGTTGCTCCGTCATAGGAAGGATTGTGAGAACAGCGCAGGCTAGGCCACTGCCTCCTGTTGTACCCAGGGTCTCCATGGGTCAGAACTGAGTCACTAGCACCTAACACCAACTTATTATAGGGAACTAAACATATTATTTAAATAAACGGGAGAAAGAGCAAACTAGCTGACTAACTAGAAATTAGGTTGATTATCCTTATTTTACCATTTGAATTTACAATTTACAATCTTCCCCTAGCATATCTTAGTTTGGTCATGACTTTCTCAGCACTTGCTGTTCTCCACCGCTGCGGTAGGGGAGGTAGCAGTTAGATCACTTACGGTCAAATTGTTTGCTCATTAACATGCTTGGAAGACTCAGAGGAGGGTGTGCACTCCAAGTAATTAAAGAAAACCTTATCTTGCGGGAAGACCAGGCAATTAGGCAGCACAAGGGAAGGGGATGGCCAAAGCATGCTATCACACTGCCAGGCCAGCTAATGGGAGCTGGACCACACCCCGCCAGGTTCAGAGCCGCATCCAGCACAGCTGTGGCCCAGGCAGCCTCGGGGTCTTCCCTGGGGGAAGTGAGGATGGGGTCACACCCTCCACTTTTGGCCTTGTTTGCTTCAACAACTGAAATAACTCACATAAATTTGGCCATTTCACTTGAATGGAGTTCAATTTCATTTCTCCATATGTCCAGAGATCGTTCATAGCTCATTTTTCTATCGACATCATTAGGAACGAAGGCCAACTGCTGTCACTTATCCTCATTCCTAGGTGTGATAAATGTTGCCTGTGTTCCACCCATGTCCCCTGGGCGCTCACAGTCTGTACCCACAGACAGTATCTTCCTGCCAGTACCTGTGACCCTGTCTGAGGGCCGCCAGGACCTGCTCAGCCTGTGTGGCCCTTGTCCTCTGCATCTGAGAATGTCAGGGAAGGGCAGCCCCCAGGCAACGCTCCCCTCCACCCTGACCCCGGAACAGTGCTCAGGAAATAGAAACAGAACTGGATGCAAAATGTCCCAGCCTCCAGAATTGAAGGTGCTGATAATTGTACAACTCTTCTTGGTGTGATTGAATTATCAAATTGTATGACATGTGCATGAAATCCTAATAAAATTATTTTTAAAAAATAGAAATTCCCAGCTTCCTCACCCCCTGTGACAAGGGCAGTGAGGCACCCATGCTTGCCAGCCCGAGAGGGAATGCCTCCTTGGTGTGTGCTGGGCACCTCACTTGCCTCCCCTTCGTTTTAGACTTGCTCGTTGGCCACAGTGGCAAGCGAGCAAGTCTAGTGTGCAGGTTAGCGGCAGCCAACAGAAAGACGCCTTGGGCATCTTTGTTTGAAAATGACCACTTGGCTCAAGCACAGGTCTGCAGCTCCAAGGGCCCTCTACAGCCTCAGCCAGTTCTCAGCCCACAGCATCTCTGGTTAAATAGGTATCGAGCAGAGCTTTCCCTTTCTAATTAGCTTCCCTCCCCAAATGCATAGGGTCCCTATGGGTCGGCACGGACTTGGTAGCACCTAACCACAACAGCCACCAAATGGAATACTGCTAAAGAGCCAACCGTTTTTCAGCTCCCCAACACAGACAATCCCTGAGGTCAGGGTAGATGACAAGCCTGGAAATCTGCCTGTAGGCAGCTAAGGGTATCTGTTCACATTGGAAGAATCGCTGCCAGTGCTTTCCTTGAGGTGCCAAGCTCATGGTTTTTTCTCGACTCCTGAGACAAACACAGTTAGGGTTGCATTCATTCACAGGCTGTTTAACTTGCATGTTAGAATTTAGGGGTGACAAAGTATTGTTTTCTTTTCCAGTTTTACATAGCTAACCTATCAGGTAGTTACATAATCTGGAGTTGACTTGAGGGTATTAAGATTGAAGGGGTGGAATTTAGCCTGTCAATCAGGTCGCAGCCTGATGATGACTCCTTGTGGGCATGGATTCTGGGAACTTTCTCTCCCTCTCTCTCTCTCTCTCTGCCTGGTCTTCCTATTGACAAGCCATGCAGAAACTTTCTGGGCTCTGTGAGAGTCTCTCTCTCTCTGCTTCACCTTCCTGTTTAAGAGCGACACTGGCAGAGCTAGAGGTGCCAGCGTTGAAGTGCTTTCACCATCATTGAATCCACAAGACTTTTCACCCACTGGCCAATGATCTTCCTGCATTCAGTGTCATTGCATGTGCTGCATGAATCTGATGAGGAATTTATGGACTAGTACCAGACTTGATGTGGACTGGGCTGGGATGTTTTCTTAATATACAATTGGTCTTTGATATAAAGCGCTCTCTTACACATATGAGTGTCCCTGGAGTCATTTCTCTAGTCAACCCAGTCTAACACAGGTTAAACTTAGATATGTTGAAAGAAAACAAAAACTGTCAGGGAAGGGTGCTTAAAAGAGTTAAGAAACCAAACTATTCCATACGCCCTTGAAGCCTCCACAAAGACACGAGAGGCTAGTGGAAAATCATTCTTCTCTGTTCATGAATAAGAGTCAGCTTTAAGCAACTCTATTATATATGGCACTTTACGATGCAACATCTACTGTAGTGTATAATAACCATCATGACGATTGCTAATGACTTTATTTTAAAGTCATCTATAATTCAGGACTTCAACGTCTCTTCAGTTATTCCCATTACAGAAAATTTTCTATGAATATTTTAATATGACTAAGTCTGGAGCTATAAGGAGCCCTGGTAGGCTTAGGCTGCTACCTTCATGGTCAGAGTTCGAAACCACTGCTTGCTCTATGGGAGATCGATCAGGTTTTCGGCTCCTGTAAAGATAGAAAGCATCACAAACCCTAAGGTCATTACAAGTCAGAATTGACTCGAAAGCTGTTGGTTTGGCTTTTGTTTTTTAACTCCCGATTTAAATAGCAAGCTATTTAAAAAAAATTATCTGGCAGAATTCAAGGCAACAAATTGGGGGTGCTAACTGCAAGGTGGTAATTCAAACCTCCCTGCTCTGTGGAAGAAGGATACAGTTTTCTGCTCCGGTAAAGATTCTCAGAAACCCTTTAACAGGTCATTAACAGAGGAGGCCCTGGGTGGTACTAATGGTTAAGGAATATGGCTGCCAACAGAAAGGGTGGAGGTTCAAGTCTAGCCAGATGCACCTCGGGAGAAAGACCTGGTGGCATAGGTCTGAAAAACCATCTATTGAAAATTGTAGGGAATGACTCATGGCACCTGGGTTTTTGCTCCTGCTGTGTGTGTGTGTGTGTGTGTGTGTGTGTGTGTGTGAATTAGGTGGGAGTTTTCATTTCAGCCCATTTTTGTATTCAACAACTGAAACAAATGATCAAAACCCACAATAGGGTGTCCTGTGCCCCCTGTGTTAAAATGTTTTGCTCCTCTTCCTCTTGTAGGGCACTATCTTCACTTCACTCAACACCTGTCTACCCTCTAGCCCAGTGGCCTGGAACGTGCAGACTCTCTGGCCTGATAAGGCCCAAAATATCATCTATACCGGCTTAAATCACACATCTCACCGAAAAGAAGCAGTTCCAGCCCTTACATTAAGGGTGAGTACATTAAATGTTTAACCAGTATGGCCCTGGAATGATGCTGTACATATCCAAATGGCCCTTAGTAGAGAAAAAGGTTCCCAGCCCCTGTATTTACTTCTCCCTTTCCCTCCCACTCTTGGTAACCATCAAAGTCTGTTTCTCTTGGTTAAAATCGTTATCTTGATTGTTTTTCTTTTATATAAGGCCTAAAACAATATTTGTCCTTTTGAGATTGTTCAATTTCCCTCAGCACGCTGCCCTCCAAATCCATCCATGTCGTGAGGTGCTCCACCATTGCATGACTGTTTTTCAGTGATGGGTAGTATTCCATTGAATTTCTACATTAAAGTTTATCCAGTCTTCCACTGGTGGGCATTTGGGTTGTTTCCATCTTCTAGCTATTGTGCATCGGGCTGCGATGAGCATAGGAGTGTCTGTATCTGCTTGTGCTATGATCCTTATTTCTATATACCAAGTAGAGGGATTGCTGAGTCCTATGGTATTTTTATTTCCAGTTATTTGAGAACGTGCCATGCCACTTTCCACAGTGGTTCAACATTTTTACAGTCTCACCAGCAATAGATGAGAGTCCCAATCACTTTCCACCCTCACCAGCTTTTCCTATTTTCTGGTTTTGTTTTTGCTATCAAGGTGAAGTGATATCTTGTCGTTGATTTGCATCTCTCTAATGGCCAGTGATCAAGAGCATTTCCTCAGATAGCAACTGGTTTTTGTTCATAGAAAATCATGGCCCTTAAATTATCTAAGATTCTATCATAACCTATAAATCTATCATTAGTACCATGTCTATGGTTTACAGTTAGTGTTACTGTTGAAATTTTATTGCCATTGACCACAATATTTCTCATCCTATCAGACTTAACTCACCTTTTAAAAACAAATGGTGTCACGTCTTTATTATCTTGAACTGCAATCCACAGACACTATACCTTACCTAGCACGTAATTTAGGAGCCCTGGCTGCATTGTGGGATAAGGGTTGGGCTGCTAACCACAAGGTCAGTGGTTCAAACCCACCACCTGCTCCTTAGGAGAAAGATAAGGCTGTCTGCACCTAATTAGAGAAAAAAATACAAAGGAAAATAAAAGGAACATTATTGTGTGTCAAAATGCCACGTTATGAAAATACCTAGGCCCCGGATCACTGGAAGATAAATGAAGAAGTCCTATGCCAGTACCAGATATATACAGTTCCACATATGTACGGGCAACAAAACTCCTAACACACTAATTAAAAGGGGAGGAGGGCTGAATTGCAGATGATACCAACAGGCGCACTACCATTAACGGCAGGTGATTACAGAAGCAGTGTACAATTCTTGGTAAGGCTACCAACAAAACAAATTACATGAATGTGTGTGCGCACAACACACACACACACCACCACCACCACCACCACCACCACCACCACCACCAAGAATATTTTTTCCACGTGAAAGGATTCATTTTTATTTTCTTACCTTTGTGCATATAGTTCTTAAATAAACTTGTCTTTTCACCTTTTCTTTTTAAAGATTTTAAATTAACGGCTTCTTTTCATGCCTTTCTTGTCATCGCATTCCCGTGAAAATTGAGGTCCATTAAAATTATTCCCAAAATGTATCAGTATTTTCCACGGCTGCATATGCTTTTCTCTGTGGCTTTAACAGTAAGTGGAAAAGAAGGGGCTGGCCCAATCCACCACGCCACATGGAACTGGCGGGGGGAGGGGGGCAGGAAGACGAAGGGAGGCTATGAGAGTAGGTAGAGACGAATGAACTTCAAACATGGTTGCTTGGTGCGTGCCTCATGGGTCTTGCGTGGTGCGTCTTACGCAATGCGTTGCGTGGTGCGTCCTACGCAATGCGTTGCGTGGTGCGTCCTACGTAATGCGTTGCGTGGTGCGTCCTACGTAATGCGCCATGCGTGCTTTGTGCGTGCTGTATGTATCCGCGCCTGCGTGGAAACCAGCCTGTCGGGTCGTGTTGAGCTGACGGCGCCTTCATCGGATTCTGAGATGATTTCTGAAAAGATACCAGTATTTTAGAGAAATTCAAAGGATTTGGGGCTTAAAAAAAAATATGGAAGCGAACATCACAGGAATTTGGTGTGACGCTTCTTGAAGGTAGGTTTCTTATTCATAGTGAATAAAAGCCACTTCACAGCAGACAGGCGGTTCTTGATAACTGACTGCAGGTGTGACTTGCATCCGCTCCCTTAATGAACATATGCTTTTTCTCTCCTTTTAGGGCCCCATTTTATACAACAATGCAGCGAGCTTTAGAAGAAAATTTGGGCCGCATGGGCGCTCTCATTGAAAGTGCCCAACAAAGATCCCCTAAAAGAAAATGCATTTATAGTGAAAAAAAATCAATATTTCAAAAACTTTATGACTTGTATGTAGAAGAATATGAAGAAGAGCCACAGAGTGCACACGAGTTAAGAAGAAACCTAAAACTGATAGAGAAACTGGTTATGCGAGAGGACTTGGCCCGTTTAGTGGTCAATCTGCACCCTGTGAATGAGGGCTATTCTCTGGTGCTCATGGGAGAAATTGGGTACGAATCTGAAACCATCGAGCTGCCATATGAAGAGAGAGAGCTGCTGGAATATCTGGATGTAGCCGAATTGCCTCCCATTTTGGTTGAGCGCTTGGAAACATCTCAGGTGAATGTTTTTTACTCCGGATGTATCTTCACAGAAATCCGGGACTACGGGGAATACAGGAATATGCCAACATGTACCTTCCAAACTAGATGTGTTCTCCTATGTCCAACAAAGCAGACTTTAGCCTGTGATGTTCACGACAACCCTGAAAAGCCTCTGGAAAACCACTGGGTGTTTGAGAGCCAACAGCAATTAGCTAGCCTTCGTCTTCATCCTTCTGAAGCTGTATCCTGCACTAACGGTCTTCCCTCGGTCAAGCCAAGGATGAAGAGTTACCCAATGAAACGGTATTTCAGGAAGGGTTATAGGCCCTCCCTGCACCAGCGCCAGGAGTCGGGGTGGACTCATTGTCTATCGCCACCTCAGGTAAGGTCACTCACTTCTTCACAAACCGACATGGGAAACAAAGCTGGTCAACACTATGGCCAGAAAATTTTTAAAGCAGAAGACGATGTGGAGATGTGGAAACAAAGTCCCTATCATCTGGCCACACCATCGGGGAAGTATGGCACCTCACGACCAACTGCCAACGACTCTTATCAAGTGAATGATCGCTACTCACGTCATTTTGAAGCCCCTAATCAGCATCAGAAATTAAGGCTGAGTGTCATGGAGTCATCGAAAGACCCACTTCTCTCTAAGACTTTACACCCTTGTGAGATACCTGCATCCCACTTTGACACAGACTGTCTCTTAGATTGGTACATGAATGAAGAAAAGTTTGCTGCTGCTGCGTACCAGGACTTATTCCGGAAGGAAGCCAGATGTCCAGACAGAATGTCACATAGTGCCAGTGGCTTGGCAAGTCCAGGTCAGCTTTCTCCAAGAAAAGAAATAGAAACACCTCAGAAAGTATCTGTTCGGGTTTTGCAAAAGCATTCACCTCTATTCATCAAAGTTCCTTCAACCTCGGGAAATCACTCTGTGGCTAACTCCTCTACGCCAGAGCAGGCCAGTGCCATTCTTAAACCTGCAACTCCTTCTCCTGCCTCTAAACTACCAGTTCCTTCTCCGAAGCCATCTGTAGACTTTGGTCAAGTGAGCCCACATTCTGCATGGGCCCCATCACCTGCCAGCTCGTCACGAATGGACACAACCACAGTAGGCCTGACAAGCACTGGTGGACCCAGCTCTGCCAATGCCAACTGCCCTGTTCCTGCAGCACAGATTTCAGCCAGGTACCCATACTCTGTGCATGACTACTGTCGCCGCCCTGGTGGCCAAACTCCGGCAGAAATAAATCAGAATGACTGTGTCCCGTCGAAAGTTCCCCCCCCAACTGCAGTGCCAGGCGCAGTGAAGGCGGCTCCTCGAGCATGTGTTTTGCAAAGGACCTCCATTGTGAAGCCTTTGACGGTCCTCAGTCTCCCAAATGGTCATTTCATTATGATCTCGCAGCAACAGCAGCAGGTCTCTCGCATTATTATCCGGAATCCTTCCACTGCTTCGAACCAGCCAGGAGCACAACCTTCTATCAGCCAAGTACAGAATTCTAATCAGCAATCTGTCACTGTCACCAGAGTAGAACGTCTTGTGCCACTCCGGGTAGTCGTGATGTCTTCGAAGATACCAGAGCAAAGTGTGCCTCAGAAGAGACCCCAGCCCCTCTCTGCCTCACCACAGCAGGAGTCACCAGCCAAGCAGATAAAATTGTCGGATCCTGGAATGCTTGAGATGGAGGAGGCCAAGCAGGTCAGGAAGTAAAACAGAGGGAGGTACACCAGCCACTCCCCAATTGTGAGCCTTCCAGTATTGTTCCCCTCTGGTTTAGAAACACTAGAGCAACAAACTGAAGGATTCTGAGATTTTGCTTCATTTTTAATGTGCTAGTAGTTTTCTATTTCTAGTTGTGCACCTTTTATACAAGTCACACTCTACGGTTGGAGCTTCTGCAACCGTGAAAACAGGTACATGTTGTTGGAATTGAACAATTATTAGTAAGCTTTATATTTAGAGCAGTTTCAGGTTCATATAAACCTGAGTAGGTAGTACAGAAAGTTCTCAAAGAGCCTTTCCCCGGTTTATAGTTTGATGTTAATAACATTTTCTACTTCTGTAGCATATTTGTTGTAATTAATGGAACAATATCGATGCATTATTATGATTTAAAAGAGTCCATTTTTTTATATTGGGGTTCACTCTTTGAATTTTACAATTTTATTGTCTTAGAGAAATGAAGCAAGTCAAACATCCCCCATTACAGTATCATACAGAATAGTTTCACAGCCCTAAAGCCCTCTGTGCCCCATCTGTCCATCCCTTGCCCTCCCCGCAATCCCTAACAACTCAAGTTTTGCCTTTTTCAAAATGTCTCATAGTTAGAATCATACAGTGTGTATATTTTTTAGACTAGCTTTATACTTGGCAATATGCATTTTAAGACGTCTCCATATCTTCTTGTGGCTTGTTAGCTAAGTTTCTTTTATTGTTGATAAATGCATTGTATGAGAAAGTACACAGTTTATTTTCCCATTCACCCTTTGAAAGACATCTTTGTTGCCCCCAGCTTTGGGAAATTATTAATTAAGCTGCTATAAATGCCATATGCAGGCTTTTTGTGTGGATGTAAGTTTTCAACTTATTTACATGACTATTTAAGAGTTGGGTTGCTAGACCGTATAGAAAGCCTCTGTTTGTCTTTGTAAGAAACTGCCAGACTGTCTTCCAGAGGGGCTGCAGCATTTTACACTCCTCCCAGCAACTAGCAGAGTTCCTGTTGCTCCATATCTTCGCCAGAGTATGGTGGTGTCAGTGTTTTGGAGTTTCATCAGTCTGATAAGTGTGTCGTGGTGTCATGTTTGTTCTAATTTGAAAGTAGTTTCACTATTTATACTGTATATGGGAATGACCTAAGCTATACTACAACTATCTTTCAGAAGAATAGAGTTTAATATTGGGGTGTTTTAGTATAAAAATTAATTTTATTATACTTATTACATTAGTCACAAATGTACCATCTTTGCAAGTCTGTTTTGGGAAAAAATAAACTTTTAAATCTGCAGAAAAATGCTGGCAACACGCAGATTGAGGTACATCAAAGACCTCCAATTGTGTGCAATGACTTGGTGGCAGATATGTCAGTGTGACAGGCCCCTTGAATAGGTCCCAGGTGCGTTCAGTTCTCCCTGCAGAGCCCCGCACTCCTGTACCCCACTGGCCTTGAAAGGGCCCTTCCTAGGACACCTTGTCTTCTCTCTTTTTAGAAAAGTAGCTACATTTTTAGAATGTTAGCTTGTTTGCAAACAAGTGAACACCCTCAAATCAGAAAATTAGTTATTTGTTCGCTTTTCAAACATAGGTGACCCTGTTTGATTCTTCAATGCAGCATGTGATAGGTTTTGCATGAACGTCCCTGGGTCAGGATTCTCAGTGGTTTGGCTGTTAAGGCCTGGTAATCCCCTACAGTATGATATAATGTGATATTATCGCTTCCAGAATGGGGTCTGCTCTGAGCAGCAGATTGTAAGATGATCGTGGTGGAGGGCAGCCCCTTCCTCAAGTCACCACCCTGGTGAAAGTTAAAGGAAGTCTTCTCGGGAGTGAAGCTTCCTGTGTAAGTAGAGGTTCTAGGGAAACTTGCTTGCTTCTTGTTGGTTCTGTATCCTGCTTCTAGTTCATCAACTACTGGATTTTGGGACTTGAGCCAAGGGCCTGTCCACCCAGGGAGCCACCGGTGGCCTGTCATTTGATCTGCTGGCCCACAAACTTGACCTGCTGCCTTTGGATTTAGCAACCTCTGCATCAGCCAGTCTGTGGGCTTCCAGCTTCCTGGTTTGTTAGCCCCGCAGCTACGTGAGTAAAGACAGGCCACCAGCCTAACATCTCACCCCCAGATTTGAACTGCATTGGACTTACCCCTTATCCAGTTTTTACAAGTGTATGAACTATTTTTCTAGGTATAAATTTCCTATTCCTCTCTCCCCTTAACCCTGGACAATCACAAAACTGCTGTCTTATCTCTATACTAATTTATCTATTTGGATATTTTGAGTACTAATTTACCTATTTATATATTTTTGGCAAGTGGAATAATATAATACGTGTTCTTTGTATACCTTTTTATATTTAGCATATGTTTTCAAGCTTTAGTCATGTATCAGAACCTCATTTTTCCATGTCTGAATAAAATTCTGTTACCTTTGTGTGGATTTTGTTTTTCTGTCCATCTGTTGATGGACTTTTAGTTTGTTTTCTCCTTTTGGTTATTGTGAATAGTGCTGCTGTGAACATCCATACACACATTTGCTTGAGGGTCTCCTGCATATTATTCTATTATAGCTTTGAAGAGCAACCATTCTACATAAATGTGCTTTTCTAAGAGCATATCTTTAGTTCTTTCTGGAGAAAAAGGAAATTTTGTTTGACACAAAAGAGGGAAAGGTCAAGTTCGAGCAAACATAGGTGCATGTATGTTGGGGGGAGGGAAAGGGGGGCTGGCCACCAGATGGTGGGGGACAGAGACTGAAGATGCTCTTGGGATCATTAGGTGGGGAACGTCTTTAGTGGCATGCATTGGGGAGGGCAGAACTGACCTAGGACATCTGGGGTCTCCTGGGAACCCAGGTTGGGTGCCGTGGAACACTGGGACATTGAAACCTGCACTATAAGGGCGCACGGCCAGCTCCAGAAGCTGCATTGGTAAGATCCCATACTGGAACCCCACTGGGTAAACTGGACTCTACCTCAGACACATTGGTAACCTGCTTAAGCCAGAAAACACATGATGTGTGAGGAAGCAGATGACAACTGTACCAAGAGTGGTGTACTGTTGGTTGGTGGACAAACAAGATTTTACTACATCAACCTCCTGTATGTGGTATTAAGATATGTCTTCTTCCGGCCATCCTGTGGCAGCCATCCTGTTATACTTTGCTTATGCTTGCGTATCTCAGAGGTGCGCTGCCATTGGGGTCACCCTCTTGAAGCTGGGTTTACTTGTTTCTCTGTTTTTCGGTAAAGGAAACCCAGGGATGTTGAGCCTATAAGGAAAGAAAACATAGGTGTTTGAGTGGAGGGGGAGATAAGAAGGAAATGACATAAAGAAGCCCAGGAACCAGGGAGAGGTAGGTACCCCAGGACCCAAAGGCGAGGGGTCCTGCAGGACCACCAGAGCAGCCTGGCCCATCCAGCCCTCAAAGGCACAAGGGAGAAAAGAGATAAAGGTGATTGTGTTAGTCTGGGTATTTTAGAGAAACAAATGCACAGAAACTCATATGTATAAGAGAAAGTTTTATATAAAGAGTAAGTGCACATCAAGAAAACATCCCAATCCAGTGCTGCCCAAGCCCACAAGTTCAACATTAACCCATATGTCCAACACCAATCCACAAAGTCCTCCTCCATCTCACAAAACACACACTATGATGCCGACTGCAGGAGGAAAGCCAAATCGGAGAATGAGGCAAGCATATCAGCGCTGGCAGGGGTCTGCATATGGTTGCTCTAGCACCCAGGACTGCATCGGGGTAGGTCTATGTGGCTTCTCCTCAGGGATGTCTTGCAGGAAGTGAGCCTTTCCAGCTGAAGCAGGGAACTGGCTAAGGCAGCTGCACCCTGGTCCAACCATCACAAAGCAAGAGACCCGAGAACTAGAAAGGTGAGGTTCACTGAGCCATTTATCCCTTCACCCTTCAATTAACCCCATGTGTTTATCGGCCAGGTTGGCACAATAAACTTTAACTGAGTGATCAAGTTGATGTCAGGCAGAGACAAGAAGTGTTTTCACCTGGCCCTTAGCTCCCTGGGCAGAACAGCTGCCTGGACCCACTCACTTAAGGTGCTTCTGTCAAGTTCTCTCCAGAGCCGGAAGCTATCAGCTTCTTCCCAAGACAACAGGGCCCAATAGGCAACTAGCAACACTTGTTTTAGTCTGGAACAATATAGGTGTATACAGAAACCAGCAGAGGATAAGTACTTTGCACCAGTTTCACTGGGTGGACATAGTGTATATTTGGCTGACTTTTCTGCTCCCTAGGTCTGCGCTCCAAGCTTCCCAATGCTTATTTCAAGCCCCAGCCTAGGAAAGCTAGTTACTTAGATTTGGCTCTACAGGCTGGCCTTTGCCTATATCGATGAGCTCAGGAGGATCCCTGGTGGTACAATGAGTTACGCGTTTGGCTGCTAACTACAAAGTTAGCACTTCGAAACCACCAGCTAGCCTACAGGCAAAAGAGGAAGATTTCTACTCCCGTAAACATTCACAATCTTGGAAACGCAAACACAATTCTACTTTGTCCTGTAGGGTCATTATAAGTCAGAATTGACTCCATGACCATGAGTTTGGCTTGTGTTTGGTGTCATGAGCTCAGACATGGGAAGTGGGGGGAGGGTGCCTTCTTAGAGGTCGACCTTGATTGGGATTTGTCTGCCTAAAGCAGTGAGGCCATGTCCCAGTACCTTTCTTTTTCGTTTACTCTGTAGTCTATAGTCACAGGAAAGAGTTAGCTAAGAAGTCACTCTTGGAACTTAAAGTGTTAAGAAATTCACTCCCCCTATAGGCATTACCAGGGTTTCATATTTTTCAGTATCACATCCCCACTTGCTGAGGAAGTTTGATTGCAGCTATGATGTATATGCGTAGGTCTGTGCTAGAGTTTATAGATATTCTATACTGACCTAGACTGTGTCAAATGGGAAAAGAGGGGCAATGGATAATGGGCAAGGAGATGGGAAGGGAGAGCAGGGTAGATATCTGATGTGGGGAGGATGGCGTCAGTCTGTCTGCAAGGGGGAAATGGCATGGGGTACTGCAAATAGCTGGTTGGTAAGCACTTTTCAATGTCTCAGAACATTTGTATGTGGTCTATAAAATGAAAAGTCATTTCAAGCGTAAAAGTTCCTATTAAAGTTTTTTTTTCGTTTATAGTTAAAAAAAAAAAAGCCCAGGAAGGAAAAGTATGTCTGGACTTTGAGCCTCTGCTCAAGCCCTCTCTCATTGCAAGGAACACTTTGTTCTAACAACCTGGCATTCTGTGATGTCCGCCCTCCCAGCACGATCGCTGAAGACAAAATGGGTGCACAAGCAAATGTGGTGAAGAAAGCTGATGGCGCCTGGATATCAAAAGATATAGCATCTGAGGTCTTAAAGGCTTAAAGTTAAACAAGCAGCCATGTAGCAGAGAAGCAACAAGCCCACATGGAAGAAGCACACCTGTGCGATCATGAAGTGTCAACGGGATCAGGTAACAGGCATCAGAAGACCCAAAACAAACAAATGTTGTTGAGAACGAGGGGGGGCTGGAGCAGAGACCCAAAACCCATCTGTAGACAATGAGACATCCCCTCACAGAAGGATCACAAAGAAGGGATGAGTCAGCTGGGGCATGGTATAGCTGTATTGAAACACAATAGTCCTTTGGTTCTTTGAGGCTTCCTTATACCCCACTAGCATGACCCCAGTCCTGCCTTTCACTGTGGACTAGGCCAGAGGTACACAGGTACAGACAAGAGCTCATGACAGATGGAATTCAGGTCAGATAAACCTCTCAGGAACAGAAATGGGAGTAACGATACCATGAGGGTAGGGGGAAGGAGGGGAGAAGAGGGGAGGAAAAGGGAACTGATTACAATGATGACACATAACCACACCCCGCACCCCCGCCAGGGGAGAAACAACAGAAGCCGTGGGGGAAGGAAGACAATGGTTGGTGTAAGATATGAAAATAATAATCACTTATCATTTTTCAAGGGATCACCAGGGGGGCGGGGGAGAGGAAGGGGAAAAAAGAGCTGATCCCAAGGGCTCAAATAGAAAATACATGTTTAGAAAATAACGATGGCAACATATGTACAAATATGCTTGATACAATTGATGTATGGGTTTTTATAAGAGCTGTAAGAGCCCCCTATAAAATGATCTTTTAAAAAAAGAAAGAAAAGTATGTCTGGAGACTGATTATGGAAGATTTTGTACAATTAGGTTTGAAATGATTGAACTATGGAATAATATGAGGCATGTATAAATTTCCAAGTTACAGCAAATTTTTTTTAAAAGAAAGAAAGAAAAGTATAGATCCAGAAATGAGTTCTGGGCTCACACTAAATCCTAGCTCAATCCTAGCTCCAACTTAAGAACATATAGTTCTTACATCAAGGCCCTGCTTGATACTCAACTGCATGAAATGATCTCTGAAGATAAAGGTGCTACAGCAAAAGTGTGGTGAAGAAAGCAGATGGTGCCCGGCTATCAATCAGAATAGTGTCTGGGGTCTTAAAGACTTGTATTCAAACAAACAGCCATCCAAGTGAGGAGCCAACTAAGACTACACAGAAGAAGCATACCAGTTTGTGTGATCCAAAGATGACAATTACAAACTTCGAATATGGTGAAGAGAAAAGTATCAGAACTAAAATTATGAACACTCGATTTGGACAAGACTGTGGAGGACAGTGGGAGCCATATGCAGAGTATCTAGGTAAACTGAGCTGCTGGCAGATCTGCACTAGCCAAAGGCAAGAGTCCCACAAACTCAGTACCAGGCCGGTTGTCTTCCCTATAGACAGGACCTGAATTAGTACTGGGTGCAATTTCTGTCCCATGACAGAAATTTCTTCCCTGGCTTTTTGAATGTTGATGGGGGTCTTCTTCCCCTTACACTTCATTTGTATTTTTGCCTTTATACAAATATGATCTTATCCTTAGTGCAATTTGTCTTTCATTGTTTTCTGTTGAGTTTCCCGGCTGTGAAGCACAGGCGGAATGGATGTATAATGATAATAATTGATACAAGGTGTTACAGGGAAGGCAGGGTTGAGGGGTGGGTGATAAGGAGGGAAAGGGGATTTCGGGAGTAAACAATGAAGGGGGAGGGGGAGGGAGCACTAGAACTGATGGTGATTGCCCAACTCAGTTTAAAGGTGATATAAGCATAGGGCAGGAGCAACGGAGGTTGGGGGTGGTGGTGGCTCTAAGATAGATGTGGTGATGATTGTACAACTTCCCTTTACCAGCCAGTCGACACTGGTCTCCTGAGAGCTTTAGACAACCCATCCTGGAACCTTTTCGGAAATGAATAGTGCAATGGTCAATTTCAGAGAAGAGTTTGCACTTGGCCTTTAGGAACCAATCAGAGACTTGAACTCAGGATCACTCCCAATTTGGTGTGTTCCTTCCCATTTACCCTATATCTACTCCTTTTCTAAC